ATAAGTATCATATTTATTTATATAAAATATAATATAATATGAAAAATAATATTATGATCTCGAGTTGACAAATATATTATTTTTTAATGTATAAGATTTTGTAATTTTTCAAAATAAAATATTATTTTAAATAATTAAATTTTTACAATAATAATATTTTCACCTCATAAAACTATGAAATACTTGATATAAATATTGAAAATATAAAATAATTTTAACTAATCAAATTTATTAATATTTTATTAAATTAAACTATTTGTATATTATTATTATTAAATTTATAATTTTAAGTAAAACACAAGAATTAAGAAAAATCCATATGGAAAAAAATCATTATTTATAGGGTATTTATGTTCTAAGTGGTAGGAATTGTTCATTAACTAATAATTTGGAAATAATGACATTCTCATCATTTTAATCCAAAAATGCTACTATTGGTAATAAGTTATTACCTGATAATAACTTTTTTTGTGAACCAAACACGAGAATACAATTCCGGAAAAGATCATTACCAAGGGAATGATCTTTTCTGCAAACCAAACACCCTCTTAAGATATCTTTATTAAAAAAAAGTTCGAGTATAATTTGGGTAAAATCCCCCAAATGTCCTATATTATTATTGAGATTTTATTTCATTTATAATAAAACATTTGATTCATTGTGAGTACTAGGGTTATTAAATTCCACATGTGAAATTATTAAAATATCATATACCTTTTCAAATTATTAAAACAAATAAAGATATCAATTGAGGGTGTTTTTCCCGAAAAATCACTGGTGACCGGTATATTTATCGATCTAACACCGGTCAGACTATATTTCCCGATCTAACACCCTTAACAGTGGGGTAAGGAGTGTCCCATGCACCAAGCTATATGTTGACATGGGATACACGTGGGTATAACGCGGGATAGGGGCCGCGCCATACCTTTATATAATTATATAAGGTGTGGTGCAGGTACCGCGCCTTGTATAGCGACTTCGGCTATAAATACCTTTATCCCCGTTAAGTTCCTCACATCTCTCCTCTCAACTTATAAATTAATACAACAATTCCGTTAACGAGTCAATAATTCTAGCAAACTTAATACGAGATTGGACGTTTGCGTTATATGTGATTATAATAAAAGAGATAATAAGTGACAAACTTAAGAAAATTATCTAACACAATCATTAAATTTTATCAAAATGATAACAATTTGGTATTTCAAAATAATTTTAAATACAACAAACTTACAATAAGTATTAAATGGTAAATGATAACCAAATTACAATAACTGATATTAAATGATAATAAACAAAATTAACTGAAATACATTAAAAAAAGATCAACAAATTTAACAAAATAAAGTAAGTATTAATTGAAAAATAATAAAAAATTACAATTAAAAAGTCCAATAAACTAAATACAAATATAATAAAAAAACAAAATCTATCGATGCATGCGACGCGAATGTATTCCGCAGGGTGGTGGCTGTCGGTCTCGAGGAGAATTTTTTCGTATCACTGGTTGTGACTCATCGCTGTCATCATCATCACCATCATCATTGTCGTTGTCGTCATCGTCGTCCTAAGTAGGTACATTAGGTTGATAATGAGCTGATGACGATGAAGCACCTCCATAGAATAAGGACCCTGGAGGTGAATGACTGACTATCCCACCGACCTGCGAAAACTGGGAAAACTCATAAAACCCAGACATCACTGAGTGTGAAAATTGTACAGGAGGTGTCTGTGTTGCGGCCATGGGTGATGAGGTTGAACCCACCAAATATCCAGTATATGAACCCCAAGTCGGATCTGCAAACATATACCCATAATAGCCTCCAGGAGGGGTCATCTGTGACGGCGACAGGGTCATAAAACCAGGTGAAGACGGCGGCGGTGACATCTGGTAATGGAAAGGCGGTGGTGGCATCATATATGGTTGCGGTATGTAAGTCGCTGGATACGGTGGTTGTTGTGAAGGTCCTGCTGGTGCAGCTGAGGATGAACCAGAAGCACCTGCTCTCCATCCACGAGTCGGGGGACGATGATGCTATGTCGGTGAACGTCTCTGTCGACGTCGCGGAAAGGACTGCCCTCGTGCATCATAGGGAAGCAGAAACAGTTTTCCGTTACTGTTGAACCACTCATAATAACCGTCAGCAACCATCAAGAGGTCATAAAAAATGGGCTCTCTACGGGGAAGGCACCGATGTCGATCATCCCACAACACGACCCACTCATGATGTCTCACCAGCCAATATATATCTGTCTTGCCGCGTCTATCTGTGTTATGTAACTCGTCCATATTGCGAGGTGCTTCTGGAATTGGTTGAAAACAACCAAATTGCCGGAGCACGCGATCAGTGGAGTGTCACTCGACGGTCGCATAACAGATCAAGGGGACCATCGCCATCCAAACATCTGATGGTCTCCTCAACTCAGGTGGGATCATCGCCATCACATCATCAGTAGAATATGGCACCCATTCAAACTAAAACAAATATATATAATTTTTATCATAATAATAATCTAATTATATAACTATAATCTAAAATCGATTTTTAAACATTAAAATTCATACCTGTATGTCAGCCTTCTGATCGATGAGCACCCTATTTTTTTCTAAATCATCAGGTAGCTCATGATGATTTTTCCTATAAGTAGACCACCTATTCGAGGAAAAAAATTATTATACGTTGTATAAAATGATTAATAGACGAAATTAGTTTTACAATTACCTCAATAGTAGTGGAAATACGAATGGGTTCTTGACAACGGGACATAAAAAGGGCAATCAATATCACGCCCAAGACTGCAGCAACAAGAGACATCCGCCAATAGCATTACGCCTGTAGTCAGTGGCTCGACACATCTCTCTGTACAGGAAAGCCAAAATTGTCGAGCCCCAACTGAGTGATCCGGCCAGATGAAAGTCACCAAGGTGTCGCAACCACATGCAGTGAACTTGGTTGCGCGATTTGTCCTGCATCAACAACCCTCCTATCAGCTACAGTATGCATGCCTGTACATACATTTTAACTTCATCCTCAGACGTGTTCTCGCTTAAATCACGAAAATTGGCATCTAACCAATTTAACGATATCCAACCATAGTTAAAATTTTCCGGGACACGTCCTAGATTATCTCGACACAAAGCAGTCCAGGAACCCTGCGCGATCCCCGATATCACATCCCCATCCACCAGAAGCCTCAGGTGCATAGAAACATCCTCAAGTGTAATCGTGCACTCTCCGTACGGAAGATGGAATGTGTGGGTCTTCGACTTCCACCGCTCTACTAAGGCAGAAATCAGGTCTGGCTTTATCTTACAGTGACCCTGATATCTACCTATGTAATCGAATCCAGCATCTACTAAATACGGTAAGACACAGCTAGGTATCACTAACTTAAGATTCCTAATAAAAGGATTTAATACACGGTCTTTATCCTAAAATTAAATAATTACAAAAATTAATTCTTAATCTAATAATCATGCATTAAATAAATCAACAAATTATTACTAATAATTTAAATTAAAATATTAAAATGTTACCGTATCAGCAAAGTGTCGATATATATGATTTGCATCCAAGCGAAGTAGATCGTCTGTCATTTTATATCTGTAAAAAAATTAAATAAGTAAAATATTAAATAAATTAAATACAAAATATTAAAAATATAATAAAATATACCTTATAAGAGATTATAAGAGTATTTGAGAGAAGTTTAGAGAATTTGGTGTGATGAAAGTAATTGAGGATGGGAATATTTATAAGGAGGATTGGAGTGTGAAGCGTCGGGGGTATGGGGGTAATTATGGGTATAGCGCGGGGCAGGGGGTCCGCCTTCCTGACGCGTGTCAGATTCACAGGTAAGGCGCGGCCCCTGCCCCGCGCCTTATGTGTAATTACACACGTGTATCCATGTCAGCATAAGACGCGCTTCAAGGAGAGCGCCTTACCCCACGTGGCGCCAAATCAACATATAGTGTGGTGCAGGGGGCACGCTTTACTGCTAAGGGTGTTGGATCAGGAAATATAGTCTTACCGGTGTCAGATCGATAAATATACCGGTCACCGGTGATTTTTTTGGAAAAACGCCTCAATTGTGTTAGTTTAAGTGGTAAACAACTTAATATCGCTTAAATAAGATCTTAGATTCGAGTCATTGTATATGTAGAAAATCGTTGTTGGAATACTCACTCACCAAAGTCAAGTATGCATCACGAATTGATCCAAATTAATCAGGACGAAACCTTGGAATTGGAGTGCAACAAAACAAAACAAGATTTATATAAAGATTTATATCATTCTAGAAAGATTTATTTCAATCTAGAAATTAAAAAATCCAACTGATGTTTTCAAATATGAATATTTCACAATGAAAAAACAATGGTACCCTGACTTAAACACAAGCACACAAAAGTCCAACTCAAGATTCCCACCTTTGACCTAGACAATGTTCTTAGGTTTGGATTAATTTAAATTTTGCATTATAAAAGTCTTAATTATGATCTAATCATTCATAGGTTATAATTGGCCTTAAGCTTTCAAAGCTCCAACCAGCCTGCAAATTTCAACCAGAATTTGGCAAGTCTTTCTTTCTAGACCATCCTTAATTTTTTTTCTTTAATTTAGGCAAAAAAGAAATACTTGTTTTCAATTAGGTGCTTGTTGTTAAGAAATTTACATTTGGGAATAACAATAAATAAGGAGAAAACCAAAATTGGAAACAAATTTGATTTATTTACTCTTATTTTCTTTCTGTTGGAGTATGGTTGCTTTTGAAACAAAATTAATATTAATAAAAAAGAAAGAAAGACAGGAAGGACTTCTTCTAGTTATTCTCTCTCATCAAAGATAGAAGAAAAAGATTTTGATTTAGTGGAAAAAGAAAAGAGAGAAAGTCTTTGAAAGATGAGAGCTTTGAGCCTTTGACTGTGAATCTCTCTCTTTCATATTATCTTTTTTAGCAAACATTGAACCTACTTCCTCACATTTCACCAAAAATATAGAAACCCCTTTCCATTTCTCTTAACACTTGGAGGAGTTTAATTTTTCAAAAACCCTTTGGGGTTATCTTCAGATTTCTCAGTGCCCGAAATTGTCAGTGAAGGTGGGTTTTTTTTTTCTTTTACACTTAAACAAATTGATTGCCTTTGCTTAAGGTAGTCCATTTTAGACAGATTTTCTGGGATTTTTTTCTGGGTTTGTTTCTATACGTAAAATACGTTTCAAAGCTCAAATCTTCCAACTTTTGAGTTTATTTAGATTTTATTTTTGCTTATTGAAAAACCCTTTTTTCTCCCTTTAAGATTAACTGAAGTTGTGGATCTAAGAGATTTACTTTGGCTTTGTATATGGTTACCTCATAAATTTCTGATCTTGATTCCTTCATTTCATCTGTTTGGCTTACTGGATTTTTCAGGAAATTTGTAAAAACCTTACAGCTGCTGCTTGTTTTGGATTTCCTTTCTTTTTAATCCATGGGAAATTGCTGTGCTAACCCCAGCTCTAATGTTGAGAATAAGAAGAAGGGGCACAAAAAGAACAAAGCTAACCCGTTTTTTGGAGATGAATATGCAGTCAACAATGGATCTGCTACTAACTTCAAGCTGAGGGTTTTAAAGGAACCAACTGGTCAAGATATTTCGGCTCGATACGATCTAGGCCGTGAGCTGGGGCGCGGAGAATTCGGGGTAACATATCTGTGTACAGATGTGAACTCCGGTGAGAAATATGCTTGTAAATCGATATCGAAGAAGAAACTGAGGACCGCAGTGGATATTGAGGATGTGAGGAGGGAGGTAGAGATAATGAAGCATTTGCCTAAGCATCCTAATATCGTGACATTGAAGGATACTTATGAGGATGATGATGCTGTTCACATTGTTATGGAACTGTGTGAGGGAGGAGAGTTGTTTGATAGGATCGTCGCGAGGGGCCACTACACGGAACGAGCCGCTGCCGGGGTTATGAGGACGATCGTCGAAGTTGTTCAGGTTGAACTCTGAATGATCTTTTTGTTGTTGAATTGGCGTAGTCTTGCATTTCATGTTTATGGTCTTGCATGAGGTTCATACTCCCATATAGTTTAAGCCTTATATTATCACGGGAGCCTTGGATCTAGTTTTTTGGTTTAGTTTCTAATTATGATTTCAGTGATAAATGAGCTTTTCTTATTGATTTGAACCTCCTTGAAACGAAGCAATGAATAACCGCTGTATTCAATTTATGTTGCAGATGTGCCATAAACATGGAGTCATGCATCGCGATCTCAAACCTGAGAATTTTCTATTTGGAAATAAGAAGGAAACTGCCCCATTGAAGGCAATTGATTTTGGGCTGTCGGTCTTCTTTAAACCCGGTAGTGCATATTAACTATTACTTATCGACTAGATGAACTTTTTAAGTCTTTTCTCCTTCCATCAATCCATCTTTGATGGGAACCGATTTTTTAGTGCTTTAGTTGTCTCCTTTCTTTTATATTATGCTCAAGCAGTTCGAGTTTTCCTCAAGAATGCTCTATCTTGACAGGTGAGCAATTCAATGAGATCGTGGGAAGTCCATATTACATGGCTCCCGAGGTTCTTAAACGAAATTATGGCCCAGAGATCGATGTTTGGAGTGCTGGAGTTATCCTCTATATTTTACTTTGTGGTGTGCCACCATTCTGGGCAGGTTGGTCTTTCAATCTTCGACGAGTTCTTTTCTTCATTTGACTTCATGAAGGTTACATCTCAAGATAATTTTACCGGCAGTGTGTACTTCGAGAGTTTGGGCAAAGATAAGAGAGATATCAAGAAAAAAGTTATTTAATATTATGTATCAAGAGTTTGATGCATCTTTTTGCATACAGTTTCTCTATCTACTCCCATGCTTTCAGAAAAATAAATATAAAAACATTTCTGGCATCTGCATGCAGAGACCGAGCAGGGGGTAGCACAGGCGATTATCCGCTCTGTTATCGACTTTAAGAGGGACCCATGGCCTAAAGTTTCGGACAATGCGAAGGACCTTGTAAAGAAAATGCTTAATCCCGATCCAAAGCTACGTCTTACAGCACAGGAAGTGCTTGGTAACCTTCTGTACATCTTACACGCTTTATGTATGTTGGCATATATTTTTTATGTATGAAAAATCATCCAAACTACCGTATGCAGAGCATCCGTGGATACTAAATGCCAAGAAAGCACCCAATGTTTCACTGGGTGAGACTGTGAAAGCTCGGCTCAAACAATTTTCTGTAATGAACAAGCTGAAGAAAAGAGCTCTAAGGGTAATAATTCGAAGAACTCTTGTACTTCATCTACTTTTAAGTTACAGGATGCAAACTTTTGGGGGAATACCTATTAACCTACTTGATATTGACTACCTACACCCACGGTTTTTACTTTTAATGATCGTGATTTAAATATTTCAATTTGCCAGGTGATTGCTGAGCATTTGTCGGTGGAGGAAGTAGCCGGCATAAAAGAGGCTTTTGATGTAATGGACACTGGAAAACGAGGCAAAATAAACCTTGAGGAGCTTCGGACAGGGTTGCAAAAGCTCGGCCAACAGATTCCTGATGCAGATTTGCAGATCCTAGTGGAAGCTGTAAGATTATCTGACCCCAATATATGACGAAGAACTTAAAAAAATGACTAATGCAACCGATATATGTGTGGTTGGGGGGTCTACTGTTCTGCTTGTTTCTTCTCCTTTTAGGAGACGCATCTCTGCTCCGTTTTCTTGCATAAACTTAATTTACTGAGTTTGCCCATGTTATGTCCTATAACTACCGTTTCATATTTCGAACTTCCAACTTCATCGATGGAATAACTGTAACTTGCTTTTGACAGGCTGATGTTGATGGTGATGGAACTCTGAATTATGGAGAATTTGTAGCAGTTTCAGTTCACCTCAGGAAAATGGCCAATGACGAGCACTTGCATAAAGCCTTTGCATTCTTTGATCTAAATAAAAGTGGCTTCTTAGAGAGAGAAGATCTGCGAGATTCCTTAAACGATGAAGTTGATACCAGTGAGGAAGTTATTGATGCCATAATGCATGATGTTGACACCGACAAGGTGACATTTTCTTGCTTGGTTATAGTGGATTCAAATTGAACTTGTCATCTTATCAATGCTTATCATGTTCGTTCCTGTATTGCACTTTATCTATTGCTTCAAACCTCTACTTATGTTCACACACACATACACAAATCCCGTGTCTTCTGTTTCGTGGTTGGTTTCAAGTGACGTGGTTCATCTCAAAGCATCTGAGTCTGAATCATCTCCAAATTGTATGATCAGAAGTTAAAGCTTTCTTTTTTTACGTTGCAGGATGGGCGCATAAGTTACGATGAGTTTGTTGCGATGATGAAAGCCGGTACTGATTGGAGGAAAGCATCCAGGCAATATTCACGTGAAAGATTCAACAGTCTAAGCTTGAAGTTGATGAGAGATGGTTCATTGCAATCGGCTAATTGAGTACAAGTCTAATAGATACCAGTCGATAAAAACAAAACAAAACAAAACAAAAAAGTTAAGTACCATTGCTTTGAAGGGTAAAAAAAGAAGAAAAATTCCTTGATTGTTTGGTTGATACTGTCGATTTCTTTTATTTTTCCAATTTGTTTTCGAGTGGAACCTTCGAGGTAGATAATGCTAGATCGATGCATGTGTTATTATCAGTACGTCTAGACTGCTAGCTGCCGAGTTTGAAATCTTTGTGGATACCTGAAGTGATGGTTAAATGTTATCCACAATCTTGTTTGTGGTTGTAAATATCTGTCCAACATGCCTTTCTCTTTAGGAAAAGCAAAGTTTGTGGATGTGTAGCATTGAATTGCTTTGATTGTGTTGTCTGGTGAAAGATGAGCTTTTTAGGTGATTCCCAGTTTTGCTTTTATTAAAGTCATTATTGATTGTTCAGTGTTCCTTGTATCTGAAGAAACTGATGACTTTCGCCTTACCCATGGCAATACTGACTCGAAAAAGACACTGGTATAGGTAAGTACTGAGTCGAGCTCAAACAACTCGAGTTATCTAGCTGGTCAAATTCAAACTTCTTAGAACTTGTGTGCTGCAGAAAGCAATGGCAACTTGGTATTCATTCGGTCATGAAAATGGTCATTTGGTTACGGTTGAGGCTGCTTCAGCAAAAGCAATACTCTAATCTCTCCACAATCGCCACGAATTTGGACCAAAAAATAATAGTATTTCTCCGGCTTGAGTCACGGACTCGGTTGAACTCGAACCCATCTTTGTAAAAAAAAGAAACCCTTAAAAATTAAAATATCATATTTAAAATTTGAAATTTTTATCTACGGAAAATGAAGGGAACTCTTGGCATAAGGTATTGCCTTTGCTTCCAAGGGAGAAAAACAAGTGTTGCCACTGTCATGTTTAACTACCTATATTTGATCTATTATCCGATTTATTTATCGATTATTCCGGATCAGATTTTGTAGAGGTCAATCCTCTCAATCAAGTTAACTTCATTCGCAAACGTTAAGATTTGAACAAAATCACTAATCTCATTATACCAAATGATTATTGATGCCATTGTCATAATATTTAATTGTCTTGATTTAGTTGTAGCCACTTCCCCTATATTTATACACAAAAAATGGTAGAATGTTAGGAGTGACAGGTCATACTCTCAACAGTCATAGCTGGATTCGATATTCTCTTCTAGGAATGAAGTAATCTATCATTTTGAACTTATAATACGTGAATGGTTAGTCATTAAATTTCGAGTTCATATGAAATGAAAGTTGAAAAAGAAAAATAGAGAAATATATATAAAACAAAGATGCAAGTTTTCAAACAACAAAGTAGATGAATGTGGCATACAAATGGACACTAAATATAGATGAACATAAGGTTTCTCACTTGCGACAGATGCTAGCAGTAGGCATTGTCACACAAACAGAAGCATACTTCTTCTTAGCTTCTGGAGTCCCACGTTTAGGCTCTTCACCCATTGCTGCATTTGCAAATGACCAAATAGCAGCTGCTGCTGCTGCAAAACCCAAGTCCCTCCTACCATTGCGGCTCTCTTGCTTCATTTCCAAGTTTCCCTTCTCTCCTTGATCGCTGCCGGTCACCTTGGCCACGATCACACCTCTACAAGCTGGTCCCGAAGGAAGTCTAGTCAAAACGGAGCTCGAGCTCGGAAGGAGAGGCTGTCATGCTCATTGAAGCCGTGTCTGTGCAGGATAGCTCTTTCTAGTTTCTTCTTTTCAAGTTTGTTTTGTGATTGAGATGCTTGAGATAAATGTTATTTGGGGAAATAGCATGAGAAGACCAAAAGGGATTGTTGGTAAACCGTCATCCATTTCCTTATCCAGAGAAATGATGGGGCAAATGGATAATTGCCACGTATTATATTATCTGCTAAATCCTTCTGTTTCTTGTGGCTGTCAGCCGCATTTATCAGGTGCCAAATTTTCCCTAGAAATTTCATAGCAATGTTTGAGAAGACATTAAAAGACTTACTTGGAAAAATCATAAGACTGCTTGGATCACTGCATACAGGAAGCAGCTGCATTTGTAAAACAGCAATTCTATCTGTTGATTTAATTGATCTCATAACATGAACCAAAGGAACAAACTCGTATATTAATCATAATCTTTGAATAAAATCCAAACTGATTAAAACAAAACTTTAAGCTGCTGAACAAGTGCTAAATTTCTTATGACAACCAAATAAGCAAAGAAACATAGCCATAGGCATTGTCTTAATAGGCAAAAAGAACTCGTATTTCTACGCTAGGCACGAACATAAAAGCCATCTTAACGATGGAACTCCACATCATCACGCATCAACCCTCTCTGCTTCTTCGAGAACAAAAGTCTTCATTGGCTTTCCCAATAGATCGGAATACTCCTGGAAAGGAGACCTTGTGAAACGAGTCTCTTTCCAGAAATCAGGGGTCAAGAAACCGTATGTTTTCAAAAGACACTCAAATGTAGCCTGCAATTTTAGGTTTCCAAAACAAAAGAACAATCAGATATAAAAAAATAACCCAACAAAGCACATTCGAATAAGATCATACCACGAATAAACAGCCACCTATAACAAAAACATACTAATTTCCTGATAGTCAAATACAAATACCTCGAAGAAGAGGATAGGTTGCAATCTGTGATATCTATAAACACATTTGCATACTTCCACCAACAAATATTTGTTTCCGAGACAGTACAAAAGAAACCAACATCAAATATAACGGTGCAGCATCAAAAACCATGTATAACCACCACCAAAACATGTAGGAATTCAACTAATCAAACAATATAATATATCAGTTTCCCTTTTCAAAATAAAATAATATATCAGTTTCAAATTAATAGATGTAGCACCGTATTAAGAGAGCATTTGCAAACAAGCCGACCTCCATTGGATTCCAAACCATTAGCTAAGCAGAAAACAATAAAATACCCTCAACACAATTCCACTCAAACCACGGATAGGAATACTCAATGAGATCTGTAAGTCTCACAAATAGAGATATGTATAAATACATCGATTACCAATTTATTACCATATATTAATAGCCGGTTTATCATGTCTCACTGTAACACCAACAAATCCAGATAACGAGACTTCAAGCATGATATGATGGATGGCCTATGCTTCCACTACATCAGTATAAAGATATTTGAAAGAAATAGAATCCCATAAAATACCTCACCATATCCCAAATCAAGAGAATCAAAGAATTAATCCAGCACCATTCATCTTCAAAACATTTCAAGTCTAACATAGTTAATCAAAAAACAATCAAAGAATGCCAGTACTTCAACGAGAAGGCATCATATCACAGTTCACCGTAGAAGAATTAGAAAAGTACAAAAAAATAGCTCACGCAATTACACGTCAAAACCCATTTCTAAATAGATGTAAACAAATCCGAAATCAATATCAAATAACAAGAAGATCAAACATTTTCGTAAAAACATACTACTCCGTACCACTAAATGTGTCTCTTTTAGTTTGTAGAAAAGTACACTTACATTTTTTATCCTTAAATCTCACTATTTTATACCTATCAAAACAAATCTATCAATCACCTTTTAAGAATAATTTTATCATTTCTCTTGATCATATATACCTCTCCTAAAGCTATGTGCATAGACAATATCAGACGCAAATAATGGGATGGAGGGAGTAATATATAAAAAAATACAAAGTTACCAAGAGTCTTGGTAGAACCCCGAGAAGAAGTAAAAACGTCCTCAATCCCAGCAAACTGAAGCACCTTCTTGGGCACCCTAGCAGCTACAATCCCAGCACCTCTCGGCGCCGGCATCATCCTAACAGTAACGGACCCACATTTCCCAATAACTTTGCACGGCACCGTGTGAGGCTTTCCAATCTTATTCCCCCAATACCCTCTCCTCACCGGAATCACAGACAATTTAGCCAATATTATCGCCCCTCTTATAGCCGTCGCAACTTCTTTGCTACACTTGACTCCCAACCCAACGTGTCCATTTCCATCGCCGACAACGACGAAGGCCTTGAAACGGGTACGCTGTCCAGCACGGGTTTGTTTCTGGACAGGAGAGGTCTTCATGACCTCGTCTTTCAATGAAGGGCCGACGAGCTGGTCGATGATTTGGTACTCTTTGATGGGGGAGTGATAAGTGAATGGAGGTAGATTTGCTCAAGGGACGTGATTTTCCCAGTTTTAACCAAACGTCCGAGCTTTGTAACGGGCACCCATTTCTCCTCTTCATCTCTGCGGCCGCGGCGCCTTCCTCTTTTACAACGGTCAGATCTGCCGCCGAAGCCACGCCTGAAAGCGCCAAGCTCTCCTCCTCCTCTTTCTGCCATGTTCTCTTTTTGGACTGGATATGTTTACGAGCGCAAGGGTTTTGTTATAGAGAAATGCGATTGGAGCGCCAAAAAAGAGCGGCGATACTGAAGACTTTATATCTAACAAGATTCTAAATCTAGGGTTTTTAGGTCTACAAAGATATAAAAGAAAAGGGTAAACTACGTACCTAAACTATAAGTTTTTATCTTATTTAACACATAAACTTCTAATTTTTTTTAAATCTTCACTTTGTATTTTATTTTAGTGTCTTGAAATTAAAAAATTTATGTGTTTATTATCTAAACTATCAGTTTTGGTCTATTTTAGTGTCTTAAACTTTCAATTTTCCCCCCAAAATTTAACATTGAGTTTTTAACAGGGTACTAAAATAAAACAAAAATTAAAATTTAGGTATAATTTTGAAAACTTTAAAAGTTTAGGTACTAAGAGTCAAAACTGATAATTTAAGTACTAAAAACGTAATTTACCCAAAAGAGAATGGAAACATTAAGCCGCTTCTTATGATCCAACCTAAAATAACTCTCTACGGCCCAATTACACTTGGATTTATTAAGCCATATGAATATTTCGTTCTTCAAGCAAAGACTTGTAAACTTCATGCAATTTAACCTAACAGAAAAAAGCTCAGTTAATTAGGTTGAGTTATATTGGATTTAAGTTATTTTAACTAGTCTCTAAGTAAAAATATATTGTGAAACGTTTTCAAATGTTTTGATCAACTGTTCCGGATCAGATTTTATAGAGACTTGTTATGGGACGATCCTCCAAATCAGTTTGCTCCATCCGTAGACGTCAAGATCCAAACTCCTAATCATACTTAAGAGATCTAGTGTATCATCCCACTA